GACGTTGCAAAACAAGCCAAGTCACTTCGTGAACTCGGCAACCAGGTTACAGTTGTTTTTTTTTACCTCTTTTTTTCGGCGGAAACCATAATGAATGGTGGTCGAGTAGATCATGTTGTGCTGGGTCGAGAACCCTCACTCCGCGCAAGGGGGATGATCGCACCACGTTGTGTTAAAGTGGTCAAGCACCCTCGAGGCAGTTGCACAGTGCTAACAACTGTCTCTGGAAGTGAAAGCACCAGAAAATAAATTAGTCATACGCAGCTGTCATCCGTACGCAAGGAAGTAAGCACAAGATGCCGAACACCCTTAGCAGGATGCAGCGCACCCTTCATGCGACTCGCCGAATATCTCACGGCGCTTCGCGCTTGGTGATGTGAGAGCCTGGTCCGGTGAGAACCCGGCGTGCTCCGTCCCGGCTTTGTAGGGATGCGAGGTCAATGGTCTAACGACTACGGCATGCACGACTATGAGTACCCCCCCCCCCCCACCCCCCCCGTCTTCCCGCTTCCCAACATCGGAAAGAGACTCCGCAACAACGGACGCCGAATGGGTTTTGCCTAAGGCAAGTTCTTTTGCAATCTCTTTTTGCTTCTCCCTCCCGATGTTCCATCGGGATTGGGTTTTCGTCGCGTGGCACCGACGTTGCAAAACAACCCAATTCACTTCGTGAACTCGGCAACAATGTCACCGTTTGTTTTTTTTACCTTTCGTTTTTTGGTGGTAACCATAATGGTGGTCGAGTAGATCATGTTGTGCGGGGTCGAGAACCCTCACTCCGCGCAAGGGGGATGATCGCACCACGTTGTGTTAAAATGGTCAAGCACCCTCGAGGCAGTTACACAGTGCTTGTAACTGTCTCAGGAGGTGAAAGCACCAGAACATATATTAAGTCAAACGCAGCTGTCATCCGTACGCAAGGAAGTAAGCACAAGATGCCGAACACCCTTAGCAGGATGCAGCGCACCCTTCATGCGACTCGCCGAATATCTCACGGCGCTTCGCGCTTGGTGATGTGAGAGCCTGGTCCGGTGAGAACCCGGCGTGCTCCGTCCCGGCTTTGTAGGGATGCGAGGTCAATGGTCTAACGACTACGGCATGCACGACTATGAGTACACCCCCTCACGGCAAGAAGTGGGACAGCTTGTTGCAAAAAGGGAACAACTGCCCAAAGAAACGCTTCCAAAAAACAAAAACACACCAACTCCTTCGAAAAAACATGACTAACCCTACCTCACGCGAGTCCGCATGACCGCTTTTGCCCCCAGGCCACCCACCCACCCAAACCAGCCGTTTCGACGAGGCGTATTTTTGTGGGAGGAGGAAGGCATGCTCGCGGTTACTTTCCGCAAACTGGCGGTGACAGCACTAACACCAAGACATGCAAGGACACCCACCTACCATATCGTACCTCTTCCATCCGTGTTTTGTGCGCTATCACACTCTACGTCAAGTCCCGCATCCCACGTCCACGAGCCGCCGCCCCCCCCTCCCTCCCTGGCTCGAACTCCCTCAACAACCGGGCACGAACAAAAATCACAAGACTCACGCCGCGTCAAGTGTTACTTCTTACTCTAGAAACACCCACTCTTTATAACCCTTCCTTCGGTTCTCGCTTTGGCAAAGAAAAAAAGAAGAACGACACGACCGGCGAGAGAAACATCGCCCAACCACCCCCCGACTTTGTGCTACTATCACGCTACTACAATGTTAGGCACCAGCGCCCGCCGCCCCTGCCCCCTCCCCGCCTCCTCCTCCGCCACAGCACCCCCCTCCGTCGCTGCCGGCGATGGCGCCGTCCAGAGCGAGGCCTGCGCACAGTCCCCCGACTCCCAACGCCGACCGTCGCACCCACCTCAGCGCTTGCTTCCGTCGGTCCGGCACCTGTAGCGCACCGCGAACGTGAAGGGTGATTGGTTCGTTACAGGTGCACCGGGGAGGAGGGGCGTACTAACGTACTGCATGGCTTATCGGTTACTACACCGGTGATCACGCGTCCCCCGATAGGACGGAGCATACCCGGCGAGGGTGGGAAAGAGTGAGTGAGAAGGGGGACGGAGTCTGCAGAGGTGTGTGGTCCAGCTTATGCTGTAGCGTGGTCTGTCAGGCTTGGGCGTGAAATTCATTTTCGGTGGTGTTGTCGTTCCTTGTCCCTTCTGCTTGTGGTCCAGAGTGTGCTGTAGCAGGGTGGTCAGTACGACTTGGTGTAGAATTCGATTTTCTTGTATCGTTGGGGTGTTCCATGCATAAAGAGGGCCGGCAACAACCGGGGGGGAGGGGGGGGGGGGCTACGGCGGAGCGGATTTCCGCACTAAAAAAGGTGAGGCGCGTGTAGTGTGCAGCACTGCTTCTAGCACAGCCCTCTTCCGCCAGGCGAGCTCCAACACTTGAGAGGACACTCGTCGCCAAGTGGTGTTCCATCCTATACCAAACAGTCCAGAATCTTCCCCGCCCACCCCCCCCAGCGCAAACAAGCCCTGGTGCCTCAACTACAATCGTGACACTGGGTGCCCTACACCCGTCGACACGCGACACCTCCAGCTCGGTCTCGTGCCACTCAACCGGCCCGTCGTGGATGTACAAAGACATGTGGCAGCCCGCGTTCGGCGAACATTCGGCTCGACCGAAAATCCACCGCACCCCCCAATCCGCCCACAAAAACAATGCTTGTACTGATATACTTGTATGTATATTAACCTCTCAAAGCGCCACAACTATCACCACCCCGTACACCAACATGAGGCGGAGAGACTTCCATCCGCCCTAGACTGACTTCCAACGCTCGATTGCTCCACAACCAAGGTTGTCTGTACCGTACCGTATTCCGTACCGTGGAATTCCGAAAGAGGCTCAGAGATGGTACTCTCTCCCTAGACCGACTTTCAAAGCTCGATTCGATTGCTCCATAACCAAGTGGGTGCAAAAAAGAGCCCGACAAACAGCCCTCAATGAGATTTTACAAAACCGCCATCTTCGGTTTTGGCCCGTTGGCACATACACACCTTGGTTGCACAGCAATCGAGCTTGGAAAATCGGTCTCTACAGTTTGGGGGCGCTGCCATCTCTCTTGCTGTACCCTTCCTAACTCACCTCCGGCTCAGGTTCCGGTTCAGGCTCCGGCTCAGGCTCCGCCGCCTTCATCCAGCTGGGCATCCACCCCCCTCCGCCCTCCTTCGACCCCGTCTTAGACCCGAGGCCGCTGAACGCAGCGCCCCACCCACCGGGCAGCCCCACGGCGCCGGGTTTCTTACCCCCTAGGGTTCTTCCGGCCGCGAAATCCGCCCTATACTTCTGCTCGCTCTCGCGTTTCACCCAGGTTGTGGCCTGTTTTTTATTGTTGCGAAAGTACGATTGTGCCATGCCGGAAAAAAAAAAAACTTGTTAGAAGTGTGTACATGCGAGAGGACGGTTCTGGATGAGGAGGAGGAGGAGGAGAGAGAAAAAATCGAGGCGCGCCCTGGATGGTTCTCTGTGGATCGTTCGTGCCCAGAGAGCGTTGGGGTTTGATTTTGGGCATGATTGTCAGGGTCGTGCACGGATCCCGAAACGAGCTGTTCTTCGACGAAGAGGCACAGGTAGCACGCGCTCACGCAAAAACAACAACAAAAAAAATGAACGCGTGGTGAAAGTAAAAGCAGAGCACACGCGAGACACACGAGAGTAGAAAAAAACAAACCACAAACTCTTTTCCCCACTCTGCACACACACATAACACATGCGGGGGGGGGGGCAAGACAAAGAGCACGCAGCAAACGCAGAGCACACACGAGACACAAAGCACGAGAACAAACCAAGCACAAAACTCTTTGTCACTCCACACACACACACACACACACGCGCGCGCGCGCGCGCGGGGCAAGAGCAAAGCGGCGCTCCTCCTCAACCCCACCTCCCGAATGGCCTTCTTGTTCAGGTAACCGATCACGATGCCGGGGATCCAGCTCGGGATCCTGAGATGGACCGAGTAGTACACGCGGGACCAATCGGCCTGCTTATCTTGGGACGGGTGGGTTGCCACGTGCCAGAAACCCACGGAATCATCTGGTTATTCAGTCACACACGGCGCAACACAGGGACCGGGGGGGG